ATTTATTTCTCATAATGATCCTATGAGGCAGTTTCTATCATTATTTGAATCAAATATTTAATCAAGGTTATTGAGCTGCAAGTAGCAAGCCAGAGAGAGACTGGTCATTCTTCTTGGTTCAGTTTGGGAGCTCAGGCCTAGCCTCAAACATAGCATAGTTTGAATGTCAGTTCCCCTGTGTCCTTCAGCAAGTTTCTGTCTACATAGCTTTACTTCCTTACACAGAATATTTGCTGATCTTTTCCAATATTAAAAAATACCTCTCTAACACCACTTCCCACATGAAGCCTTCTGCAGTTAATCACATATCACTTTCATAGCTCAGATACTTTCAGTACTTCTATAATCTTCCAATCCACCTACATTTTTTAAGTAATTCTATTTTCTATTCTTTCTTGGAGTCACACTATGCTACTTTTCCCCATTCCTTTCTAATCAGGTGTAAACCATTCAGTCATACACAGGAGACCCTCAATATATACTAAACAAAGTGACAGAAAGAATTGTTGAAATTTTATATATGAAGATTTTTGCAATAGGAAACACAGGCCTCTTATCTCTCCTATAAATATTTCTAACAAGTATATTAATAACTGACAAATATTTGCTATTTTCCAAAGTGTCTAAGTCATTTATTTTTTCAATATTCATGTAAATTATCATAATGCTTTATAATATATAGATGTAGGAATAAGTTAATCTTTTGATATTCTGGATAAAATAAATGCAAGCATTTTAATGTTTAATGCTTTATAAATTAACTAACTTTTACTTGTATCATTTTTTTGAATCATCATAAACCGCCCTGTGAGACATTAGTATTAAGCCCTTTTTGTAGCATGGATATCAGAAGACTCAGGTAGGTGACATGTGATAAAGGAACAATACAAACGAAACCTTTCTATTTCTAGTTTTATATGTGTTTCTATATCGCAATGCATATATTTAGTTCCATTTTTACCTGAAAACACCTCACTATGGGCCTGGTACTCTTGAGGTGCAGAGGGTTATGGATGACTGAGATATGATCCTGTTCTCCAGGAATTTAGAGTTTAGGCTGGGAATAGGCACATAAGCAGACAATTTAATTAAATGTGATGAATGATAGGGGTAGGTAAGACAGGAAATGTAATTGGGGTTCAGAAAAATAATTCCTGGGGAAGATAAAATCTTAGCTAGGATGAGAAACTAGCCAAACAACAGCACTGGGGAAGAACATCATAGACACAGAGATGAATATTCATGAAGGGAGAAGATTGGCACAGTCTGGAGTCTATAGGGTACTACAAACAGTACTATTCAGCACACAAAGTGACATATTTGCTAAATGGGAGTGTTAAGAGATGGAGTAAAGAAGTTCAAGGCTAGGCCAGCATTGTAGTGGTGGCTCACACCTGTCATTTGAGCAGCTCCAGAGGCTGAGGCAGGAGGCTCTGGAGTTCAAAGCCAGCATCAGCAAAAGTGAGATGCTAAGCAACTCAGTGAGATCCTATCTCTAAATAAAATAAAAAATAAGCCTGGGGTGTGGTTCAGTGGGCGAGTACCCCCTCATTCAATCCCTGGTACCAAAAATAAATACATAAATAATTAAAAAAGAAAAAAGGAGTTCAAGGCCAGGTGCTGAGGAATAGCAAAGAATTGAGGGATGTGAGAATTATTTAAGAGGTAAAGGAATCTCAGGTAAATGGGTAGGGAATTAGGGCAGGGACAGTGGAAAGTGGAAGGCACAGGATGACAGAATTGGGGGCACATTGAACACGTGAGGGTCTGTGAACCATTAAAATGGATCTGCACATTTAAAAGATAAATAATTGAGTGTGTAGCTTAGAAACATTGGGCCTGGAGATGTGGAATGACCAGTGTTCTTAAACACAGAGACATCCAAACACATAAGGAAACATTGAACACTGTGGCTGCAAAACAACTTACATGCTGAGGATTGTTAAAATTATTGGTGTCTTTCTTCATAAAGGTATAACAGGATGGGAGGTGACTTAAAGCAGAGCTCCAAATCACTAACAACAACAAACATTTCACGGGCTATTTAAAATGCCTATGTCAAAATTTTGTCTCTGCTTTCATTTATGTTTGCTAAAATTTTTTTTAATGACACTGTACTAGATTTAAATTTTATGTTTCTGCCTCAAACCCCACATATATAGTAGTAATTTTTCCTTCAGTTAAGTGTAAACTACAATGCCACCAAACAGTTCAGGTGCATTGCTTGCAAAATATTATACAGCATTCAAAGGTATCAATGAATGAGGAATATTTCTTGATTACTTGCAGAAAATATACCCATCATGGTACAGATTAGGTTACTAAATATTTTGGTGTTTTAAAAAGTGATAGGGTCATCACTGTCTTTAAGGACCTGTGGGTTTCTAGGAATATTTATAGTAGTAGAATACAAATCAATGTTGAAAATTATGTGACAAAGTATATGTAAACTATATTGAATCATAGCCATCTAATTATCAAAGCTATAATCTCAAATGTACAATTCTCATATACTTGGAGAACTATATTTTATTTGTAAGTATATAGCAAACTTCATTAATGGCAAAACCAGATCTGTGCTAACATGAGACTATTTCTAGTGTTTATTTTTCCCATGAAGTAGAAATATTCAAAGGATTCTCTTCAGAAATAAGTTATATAAATATGTTTTCCCATAATCCTTCTGGGGAAAATTTCATAATATACATTTATATACATGCAGAAATGAGGAAAATTCTGAACTCCCAAACACAACTTACAAGTAGTTTAAATAACAAAGTGAGTGTTAATATAAAAAAATAAAAAATTACATTATAGATGGCATTATAATCTAGATATTTAATTCAACTGAGTTGCTAGGATAGTTTTCATTTTTGTACTTTTGAGTAAACATTGATTCACACAATGTAGTTCTTTGTGAAAATATTTTTCAGTTTTTTTTCCTTTTTTTTCTCCAAAGCATCTTGTCTTAATACTTCATTTTTACAACAAACTTATGAAGTTGTCACATTTTTTTATGAAAGGGGCAAAAATTTAAAAACTCAAATTATTCTTAGAATCATTTTAACAGGGTTAGGACTTAAGTCCAAAAATTAGGTTTATGGGGCTGGAGTTGTAGCTCAGTGATAGAGCACTTGCCTTGTATGTGTGAGGCACTGTGTTCTATTCCCAGCACCACATATAAATAAGCAAATAAAATAAAGGTCCATCAACAAATAAAAAATTTTTTTTTTAAATTTAGGCTAAAGTAAAATATAGAAAGACAAAGGCAGGAAGGTTATATGCTGAATCTTACAAATGAGATTGAATTATTGACTTCCAAGAGAGTGTGGGGGAAATGGGAATACTCTACAGAATTTATGCAATTTAACTAAAATGTTAGTTGATTGCTACCCCAGTACATATTGAAGTTATATTGAACTTGTGCCAAATATACAATTGTAGGTTTCTTTAATGAAACACTGTATCCAAAAGACAAATGACTACCATTTTAGGCTTGACACAGAAGATGAGGAATAATGTGATGGGTAACACTTTAACATAGCAATAACCAATTCAAAATTCCTAGAGTTAGGAGCATGATGCTGATAGTTCTAGAAATCCCCTTATAAAGAACAATTGCAAAGACTGAAATTTGTACCTTGAAAATTTCATTCTTGGAGAAAGTTGGATAATTGCCTTTTGAAACAAATTAACACATTTTGTGTGATTAAATAAACCAGTCTTTTCAACAGGTGAGAGTTATTTGAAACATTACTTCATCTCAACACACAAAAAAAATGAACCAAAAATGTTAAGGACTGAAAAAGGAGTTATTCACATGGGTTTTAGTTATTCCCAATATGGTGAGACAGAGGGGTTTTGGTATCCTTTCTATTCTGAGAGTCATAAATATCTCAATATAACACTGAAAGTTACTAATATAGCAGGGTTTAAAATTTAATCAACTTTAATTGTACAGTTTTTAATATTTCTGAAAAGACATGTGCTAGTATCATAATTTCATGGAGAAGAGTCAACTCTTTAATGTTCACTATATTGTCTTTTAAGAAGAAGGCAAATCAAACATGTAATTGGAAGAAAATTGTAGTAGTGGTGACTATTAAAAATCTGAATGACATCCTATTTTTCCTCATACCTAAAAGAAGCAAAATTATGCAATTCTTCAGTAAGTAAATCGACCCTTATCATTAACTCTGCACATAAATAAGTTTTCAACCACCAAAATTTCTTAGTTTTTTTCTATAAAATAAAAATACTGACAGAAACATATTTAAAAATAACAATGTAACAATATTAAATTTGTGTAAATAATGAATTTTGTCTTTTCTCAATTTTCAAAATCTTTTTTAAAATAAGAAAAAAGTAGTTAAAGTTTTGTTGTTGTTGTTGTTGTTGTTTGTTTTGGTTGGAGTAGAAATCAAGCCCAGGCCTTGTGCATGTTAGACCAGCACTCTACCTTTGGGCTGCAGCCTCAACCCTCCAGTTGAAGATTTTTTTGACAGAAAAAGGCAATATATCAATAATTCTAATACAGCAGGTACTAGGCATTTTAAAAGAAAGATAAAACAATAATTCAACAGTAGACTTGGAAACTACTACCAAGAAACACCACATTACTAAAAATTAAAAATAGATGTATCCAAAAATCACAATTGTGTTTAAAATGCAAGAAAGATAAAACTGTCTTCACAATCAGGCAATTTAAAACTAATCAACAAGTGGTTTTGTACTTCTACCACAACAAACAGATAAGATTGTCAAGAAAGAGACCAGATGGGAACTCAAGCTTCACACATCCCCTCCTCATCAATATACCATGATTTTGTTTGATGCAAGGTTTCATATAAAGTAATTCTTTATTCTTAAATATTTCCTACCAAAAAAAGCATTTTATATATAATAAGTGGAAAAGTAAGAATAGGAATAAAGCAAATCTTTTAGAAACCCTATCTCATATTCAATTACAACAGGAAGGACAAATGGCACTAGAAGCATACCTGTGGCAGGGCTGAATTTAGCTGTCTCTGGAGCGAGTCTCTGTCATAGATGACATCCTGAAGCCTTTGCTGAGCAAGTGAGAGGCTTTCCTGGGTCTCTCGAAGGGTGTCCAGCAGACGATCTCTTTCATCTAGCATATTCACCATCAGCTGCTCAAAATGGGAGTCTGAGTCCGAGCCACTGCTTTGGGACCCCCTTTGGCTCATTGGGGTGTCCTCGTTAATCGTGGGCATCACTTCACACATCATTGCTTAAAAAAAAGTAAAGGGGAATCTTAGTAAAGAAGTGATTCCAATAATACCTCCTGGTTATCATCACACTATATTCTTGGCAGCTCACTACCTTTCCTTCCCCCTACTCATTGCCCCAAGTCAAAACCAAGCTAAATTTGTGCCCTCAGTGAAATAGGATCCATTCACTTCCTCCAATCTACAT